AATGCTACCCCTGCGTCAACTCAACTTGAAAGGTTGCACGGGAATCAAGCACGCATGAATACGGTGTTAGCATTGGGCATCTCAAGCAGTTATTTAATAATATTTATCCAATTAGTTTTGCATTCTTTTTCAGGTCAGTGTTATTGACTTGAATGTATCATTCCTTGCTACATATTTTTATATTTCATGCATCATGTTATTAGGTGTAATATATCATATGTAATTATTCATTTAGACAAATCATTGCTTTATGGTTTCAAAGAAAATATTTTAATCGAGACTTTCGGGGCTGTTTCGGAGGAAAGAGAATCAAATTCTGAGCCAAGAATTGCACAAAGTGGACAAGATCTTATTACGAAATGTACTACAAAGCAAGAACCTGAAATTCGTAGACGATTCCTAGAAATTCTTTGATAAACAAATTTTTTCTCACGAATCCCATGAACTACAAGATTGTTTGGGAATCAAATAAGATATATTTAAGATTCTTAAGAAATGATTAAGAATATGTACGAATATGTAAGAATTCATAAACATGGTAATTCGGGCTATTACATGTCGTAGTGAAACAGGGGTATATGTATTGCACTATTCTTGGTCCCACGAAATGCCCTCGTCGTCAGATTCGGAGTCTGTGCTGTCACCTAAATGAACAACAACAGGCTGGACAGTATCTGGTCAGATACAGTCTTGTTTCCAATACTCTTCCTCAACTTTGATAACATGTTGCACACAGTTTGCCCAACGTACATCTGTAATTTCTCCCATCCCTTTAAAGACAATCTGCTTGACATCTGCAAGCTTGAAGGTCTTATTTTACCCCAGATTAGTTCGATGGGATTCAAGTCACAATGGTAAGGAGGAAGTCTAAGCACTTCATGACCGTGTTCCCTCAACATGTTGTCAATCAAATAAGAGGGCGGTGGTTTGTTCTGAAGAACCAGTTGGTAGTAGTCAGTTTTTTGGCTTTCGTGGGCCGAGCAATGCGGTTGTTGTCCAACCACTGACATATCTCACCTTTGGTGGAATTTGAGGTTGGACAATGGTTAATAGGATCTCGACAACTGTGATAGGGAGCATTGTCCATAACCACCAAGGCTTTATCAGGCAGTGCTAAGAGGAGCTGCTCCTCAACATACGCAGTGAAAACCTGACTATTCATCTCGGTATGATTGTCACTGCCATCTGTAGATCTGGATCTGAACACCTCTGTGGGAGCCTGCATGGAGGACAATCAGGCGCTCCCCTTTACCAGGGGGGATCTTGCACTGTGGCTCTCTGGTATCTGGGTGAGACCATTGGTAAGCCGCTGTGTGGCAGGCGTTAATCCAGGTTTTGTCCAAATAGACAGGCTCATAGCCTTCTTCTCGTTTCTTTTTAATAGTGCGCAAATAATTGGTACGCAAACGAATGATATCTGGTCGTTCACACATTGCTAGTTTCGACCCTTTCGTCTTTTTGTACTGATATCCAAATTTGAAAAGGAGTTTACAAATGGTCCATTTGGAAATATCTAAGTCATGCTCTGTAAGGAGAATTTGTTTTAGTTTTCGTGTTAAAATAAATTCATTTTCTTGTGTTAACCGCCGAATCACGTCCCTGACAACTTTCTTATCAAAGGAATCTAACTTTAATTTCCTATCCTGTTTTGAGATGCCCCTTAAGGGATGTGCATGGGAGCATGTGTTTTTATGAGAGTTCAAAATCTTAACTATGGTTTGTTTGGGAAGCTGTAACACATGAATTGTTCTTTTCAAGTACTTTGAAATGTCAAAGAAGGGCGAATGTCTTTCACTTTCAGCCTTAAAGTATTCAAATATTTTAACAACAAAACCTTTCGCATCAGCAGAAAGATGCTTGCGCTGAGACATCATGAAATCTAATGCTAACACCATATTCGTGCGTGCGTGATTCCCGTGAAACCTTTCGAGTTGAGTTGATTGGTTCAACTGTGTCATATGGCCCTGTGACGCAGGGGTAACATTATGCAGATGGCTGTTACAAAGAATGCTCGTTCCACCCGTGACGAACAGGTCTGGTTGTTGATGAAATATAGTGATAGCTAAATAGACAGATTTTTTATTCATGCACCGATTGTCTTTAAATGTAATATCCAGTTATGTATGACTGTTTAATAATCAGACTATAGATGTAAATGAACAGAAACTGATTTAAGTTTTGAACACCTGTTAAACATCATCAGACAAACACATAAATAGAAAAGAATACATATGGTGAAGATTATTTTTGTCTGTCCAAATGGGAAATGCTGTTTGGTGACAACTCTACTTATTCAGTAACAACATGTTTGATCAAACTTAACACTTCTTCATCTACCACTACCCCTTTCCTACTCCTCTACAATTCACTATATCAACTTCCTATTATATGAAAACAAGGTTTTTACAATCTAGCAAACAGTATCCTCTAGCCAGGTAGGCATGTAAGGGCTCTCATGAAATAGTGGCTTCTACATGCCATAATAAACCCTGGAAAAAGTGACAAACAATTGCGGGGCTTTATCAGTCTGCTCATCCGTTGGGTCACCATGTCTACAACTTATGTCAACATTGACCATGCCTTGAGTTGTCTTCTCAGAGGATTAATCCCTGTCAGATTGCGAGATGTTGTTCATTTTGCAACTACAAGGCAGAACTGAAGCAATCTCATGTGAGCGAGGGACATTAACAAACACTTTATTAAACCAAACATGATAGTCACACGCATCAAATTCTTTTTGCATCCTATATAAGTTAGGCATTGAGCTTCCACAGACATTATATAATCGAACTATATCCATTTACAATGTTCGACTACCGTTCAATAGATCGAGGGTCCACATGAGCGAGACGCACCCGACTACTTTCGCAACTTCCAATTTGATTTAACGTAAAAGGATAAGCGTGGTGAAATGAAGTCAGTTTAATCTATCTGGACAGATATCTAGACTTACTTGGGATGATCCGGTTGTGCCATCAGTTTCCACTGCGAAGGGTATTTTGTGGCACTGTTGTTTGTTCACGACTGCACAACCAAATCACTCAAAGTGAACATTTCCGATACAAATCATTCGAAAGCTCCGTAGAAGTGTGCCTGATTTCTGATTATGTGGCCCAAAATATCCCAAAGGTGAACAATAACATTCCCTATCTCAAGCGTAAAACGCTGAGTAGATCAAGGTTGTCTTTTCTTATTCCGGTGGTGACCTTGCCCTTCGTTTGAAGCTGTCACTGAATCCAAGCAGACTTAGCGTGTTGATTTTCACGTCTTCAGTAAAGGGTGGTACAGTAAACATGAATGTCTTTGGCGAACACTCTGATTTCTCTCTTCCAAAATGGTACGGACATGATATAAATTCAAATGATACATCAAGGAAACCGAACCATCTTGAATGCACAGACCCCGGCAGTGCGAGTGACCGACTGTTGGTCCGATATTCAAAGCGCGGCGCTAATGTGACTTTTCAAATTTTCTTATAGGTGTCCTGTTCTCTTAAGTTAAGGGTCTTGAGCGACGGTGCTGTTATGTCTGCAAACACAACTGCAGGCGCATGTTGTTAATGCGTATGCATAGGAATGTAAACAATGCCCATATTTGGGTACATATCAATATTCATGCACAACCAGATTTTGCAACCGGTTTCAGTTTGGTCTGTCAACGAACAAAAGTTGTTACGTATTTACACTTACATACATATTTAACGTGGGTAATAAATAAAATACCACTCTCATTCTCGTTAGATACTATTTTTACGCAACTCGTGAACTTTCTATGGTATCTTTCGCTCGGTCAGATACCATAGAAAGTCCACTCGTTTGGTAAAAATGGTATCTAACGAGAATGAGTGTAGTATTCTCTATATACTTTATGATGTTATGAATTTGGTCATTTTACTTGCAGTTCAAGCTTCCTTTCTCACCTGCCCTCCACATGCATTCTGCATGAACCCTTATGGAGGTATGACTCTTCTGTACAAGTGAGAAATATGCCAATATTCCTTTTCCAACCTGCTATAGAAATGAATGCTGGTAACCGACCAGTTATCGCTAATTTTATCATGTTATTTCTGACATATTATATGTACATAGTTGACTGTACCAATAACTTTAATTTTTGTGAAACTATTAGCTAATGCACTTATTTCTGTCTGTGGAAAAGATTCAGTTGATTTCTGTTATAAAGCTATGATAGGGAATCAAAACAGTTGAAATAGAATTTTCCCATTGACTTACTGTACCACTTATCGCCATCGTGTTAACAGCACGTGATCATGCGCAATACTTCAGTTATACAAATTACATTTTTTAGGATCTCAAATTTGTTATTCATCACATGCTTATCCTCAAAACTATGAACAATGGATTTCGCGATATATACAGGTTAATGTGCATTTTTGGAAATATAGCTCAAATAGGTTTCAGAAATATATTTTAGGGAAGAAATGACAGACAGATAGAAAGCAATGACAGAAATGAAAGTGCATCATCGTTTTGTTTGATTTATATTTTCATGTGAATTAGTAACGTGACAATGCCCACATATCTTTTCTTAAGTTGTATTTGAGCAAGGTGATTATGGTAGTTTTTTTTAAATATTTCCTCACAAGAGTCTGTTTTGTTCATCATTTTGGATAAATATTTCTCTCTTCTAATGAAAACGATCAAACGTAAAATGAGATGCGATCACATGCGTGTTATATTATAGGGAGTTGGCAATAATTGGTCCTCGGCAATAACTGGTCGCTAGCCAGTATTCTTATTAAAAGAGTATCACAGCTTTTCATTGAAGTAAAATATATTCTATTGCAGTATTATTTAATTTATTCTATCGAAATATTTGCCATTTTACTCAATTTGTTACATTTAGTTTTCAACAATGTGCTACCCCATTGGGCCCTATGTATGTGAAGAGTGAAGACCATATACACTCTGCAGAGACAGTGACAGCTAACAATTCAGTGTTGTAAAGAAGAACATCTGCAGTGCAGAATACATACTGACCTGGCAATATTCATCAATAGGTTTTAACCGCTTTAAGGCCACCTCTCGGATGTGACTGCGTCCAAACAAGATCTTTCCTGAAAATGATCAAAGATATGCACATGAGATTGAAAAGTGTTTTAACCTGAAGAGTGTTTGCATTACATGGAAAAACAGAAACAAATCTCCCAGTTCTCTATCTAACCCTGAATTTCATCACTTCGGTCTGGAACCTATGCCCCATATAGTACAACTTTTACACATAAGGAACTGTGTCCAACTAGCTACCATCATTACAAAGCATTTCTGTTTCAATAACATCACTTCCAATTTGTTAAAACATGTGAAATGAAGTACAACTTTGAAAGAAAAGGTAACATGTCTGTAGCTACCTTCATTATTTGTGACCAACTTGTGTCATTCCAGAACAAGACAATTGACAGCTTGAGCCCCCTGGAGGATTTCATTTTGGTGTGTGAATATCACAACTCCTTCAAATGAGAACAATAACTCTATTTCTATTAGTCCAACTAGTACTAATTGTTATAGTAGCACTCACTTATTACTGTTTTACAAAGAATTAAACCTCTTGATACATTAAAACAATATTAGAGTCATTTGTGGAAATATATCTCAATAATTATACTCAGCTGTTTATCTTTTATTTCCAAATGTATCTTTCTTAATATACCCTTCAAAAGAAGTAGGGGATACTCGGAAATAACTTAAAAATTCCAAAAATTGTAGACATTAGTTTCTAGTAATAGTTGTATGATAATGAACAACTTGTTAAAACATTACAACCGGTAGTGAAATGTGACAGTACATGTTATGACTGCCAACTATCTTGAAGGATGATGGGAAGATGGGAAATTTCAAAGATGACCGTTTGCATCAATTGTGCATAATACAGCCAGGATCAATAAGATTGACAGAAATGTGGTCCAGAGAGACTAATCAACCTTCCTTGAAAGTGTCAAAATCAGGAATGACACCCCATACATGTGTGTAACGCTATTACATGAGGTGTAGTATAGACAATGACAGTTCTACCTCAACCCCACTGGAGCCAGATTTATATTCCTATACTGCTACTACAGAGGGAATTTTTTATGTCAAAATGATGATGCGATTCAACGATCGCCATGAGATTAAGCTAAATTGACTCTAGCTCACCACCACCTAGAGCCAATCAATGCTTCTATGATATAAATTTTTATAGACAATGACAGTTCTGGCTCACTTCCACTGGAGCCAGATTTATACACCTATACCACCACCACCACAGGAATTTTTTATGTCAAAATGATGATGCGATTCAACAATCATCATGATTCGTATGAAAAGAATCATCAATATTAATTGATAATGGATAAAATTTACCATAGCCCACGAGGATATTGGAAAGGTATAGGAGCAATACAAAAATTAGCCACTGCGGCTAAGGTATCTAAAGATGCGGCCAAGGATTGGCTAAAGAAACAAGCGATGTGGCAAATATCTTTATCGGCACCTCGTTATATCCCGAGGGAGAAGGTTGATATTTTTACAACGAATGAAGTTCATCAAGCTGACCTCTTGTTTCTTCCCCATGATAAGGTAAGACGCAAAACGTATAAATACGCTTTAACCGTAGTGGATGTGGCTAGTCACTACATTTGGAGGCTGAACCATTAACCTTGAAAGATTCAACAGAAGTAGCTGATGCACTGAGCTGCATATGTAAACGCGAACCACTAAAAGTTATTTCAAGTAGATCCTGGTCGCGAGTTTATGGGATCAGTAACTAAACTATTAACAAAGCACGATGTCACAATCAGGCGTGGTGAAAAAGAGGCCCACCGTAGTCAAGCTATAGTTGAAAGATTTAGCCGGACATTAGCGGAACGTTTGTTTGGATATCAGTATGGGATTGAAATGAAATCAGAACGATTGAGATCAACCGAATGGCTGACACGATTATCAGCTGTTGTATCAGCGCTAAATAATGAAGTAACAAGATAAATCGGGAAGAAATCATCCGATGCGATTAAAGTGAAATCTGTGACTTCCGAATCTTCAGCACCGAGGAGAGGCAAAGAACAAAAACTTCTGGATAGAGTAAGTGTAAGATATTTATACTAGGCCAGTGAACTTGAAGGAGGCAAATGTTGTACAACTGATCCGATTTGGTCCCTTAAGATATAAAACATTAGTCGGTTGGTTATGAAAGAAGGAGAGCCTATTCTTTATTATCTTAAAGATGGACCGGGTAGGGCATTTGTACAAGAAGAGATGCTTATAGTTCCCAACGATATATCCTGTGATTGACACTTCTTAAAGCGTTCATCTTGTGTTTGAATGTTCTACCGTTGAATAATGCTTCTTTATACTGTATGTGTTTGATATGCTTTTTTACCACATACTTCTTAACACCCTTAGCTTTTCTTATCTCACTTCTTAGAATACATCTTAGGTCTTAATCCGACATACTCAGCAATAGGGGTACCAGCACATTCATCCTTCATCTTACCTAATACCTTTTTATTTACAACGCTGTGCAGTGAATTATCTTTTGGGTAATCGCTCGTGTCGTACATATCTATTTTTTCTGCCATATCTTTATATACATCGTTGGTTTGTATTTCCATCAACAAAGAATCTGTGTCGGTATATAACACCTCGCACCTATCGCTGTACTGCTTCTTAAGTTCGTTGTATTAAAAGTCATACATTAAGTGTTTTGACAAGTCAAGAATACTCATACCAACGTACGCTAGATCTGACGTTCATTAGATCTGACTAATTTAACATCAACACGCTTCCTTAAATTCTCCATATAGTTTTACCAAATACTGAGTTATTCATGAGCTTATATAGGTTCTTTTCGAAATCACTGGTAGCCATCTTTCTTAAATCTGTGTTCAGCTCCATCCAAGGGCTTGGTTCAAACTTTAGAACTCTGTGTATATTCTTTATTTTCATGCCTAATGATAGATATAACTGGAGATTTCTATAGTGAACTATATATTTTGTCTTATCCATTTTATCCAGTTCTTCTACGTTAGCTAACCTAGTATTACCCATCAAGGAGTGTTGATATTCCGATATCCAATCTTTATTCACCATTAATCTTTCCGGAGCTAGCGGATAGCTGTTATGGTCTTTGTGCAACTCCTTTGGATATTTCAACTTCTAGTATGTACCCTTTATCAGAATCTGTGGGGATCGATATCACATCGATATCATTCACATCGATCCATTCAAAACCACCCGTGGGTAAAGGTTGACTCAAAGCCCATCCATACAAATGTTGGCATCGAGATATAATATGTGCGTATCGGGTTTACTTGGATCATATCCTTCCACTAATTTATTATTAGCCTTAGAATACCTTTTCGCTGTCATCGATATACCGCCTCTTAATCCTTTCTCAACAAACAAGAGCATATCGTAATCGGTGAGTAATTTTAGTTCTACACCCGTCTTCTTCAACAATGCATCCCATGATAGTCCGGGACTGGAATAGTAGCATGCCGGGTCCAAGCCGTATTGTTTTATACATGTCTTTCTAAACATCTCGAATATATCGGCGAGTAGCAGTACATCGGTTTTTAAGTACAGATCATGATAATTGCCTAAATTCTTACAAGCTAATTTATCCCAGACAGTCAGAGCTTGTTTATAATCGGCATCAGTTACTTTAGATTCTGTTAAGTTACTATAGAATGATTCAAGGGGTGGTAATTTAGTTTCGTTGAATCTAGATAAATCATTCATACATTTGTAAGGATATACACCTTTTCTCAACAACAAATGATGAATTAACCGATCAGTATATTGATTTGTTAATGCAAAGTCATCGGGATTGTTCGCACCAGCTAAATTGTCCAGGGAATATACCAGAAACTGTACGGAGTCTATGAATCTAAGCCCATTACTTTGTTTTGTTCTGGCTTTCCCATCCTTGTGCATATAATGTATAGTTTTAGTCAACGAGAATAAGATATACTTTTCCATATTGTTAGTAGGGCTTCAACAAGTACTCGAGTACTCGGGGCCGGGTCGGTTTTACTGGGACTCGAGTCCGTTATCAAGGACTCGAGTACTCGATAAGGGGTTATCACTCTGTTTCAATGTTCAATTGTTCATCAATATATTGATTAAAGCTTCAAAAAATATTGTTTGAATAATGTATTCTTTGTAGAAAGTAGATGTACATTAGAACAATTGAGAATGTCACATAAAATAGACGTAATTATTGTTTTTCCTTCCCGACTTTAAGAAATTGAATGTATCAAGGCGATTATTGCTTCTTTGCTCCGACTCAAATGCCAAGTGTATTCCCTTACACACATTAACAACTGATTAGCTGATATATATGTGTTATTTCAGTGCTTACAAATCAAGCGACAGGTCGACAGTTTGGTACAGTTTGAAAACGTGACCAACTCATGAATGAATGAACTTATAGTACTTCATTTCCATATTTAGCGGCCTTAGTCTTGCAGCCTAGCAGCTGTGTATACGTGTATGTCACGTGATGCACATTATCGATTTTCTTCCTGCGAATTATTGTTCGTGCTTGTTGGCAGGTGTCGAATAAAACGCTGATCGTCAGAAAAAAACTTGGTTTGTGTTCAATATGTATTGTAGTATTTGTAGACGTGACGTATTGTTTTTGAAGGTTGTGATTAAGATTAGTGCAGTTACAAGCAAACATTAACACTGAACACTTCCATACACTTTGACAGATAAACAAGTTCCTCGGACGCTCTCTATTTACATTTCAATGCAGTTCAATTATACTTATAACATGTTTTAATACTTTTAGATGGCAATTTTGAACTAATGAACCAATATTCTTAAAGGACGTCCTATTTTCGGGTACTCGAGTACGAGTTGAGTTTCACCCCTCGGGTACTCAAGTCCAAAAACTTGGACTCGTGGAAGCCCTAATTGTTAGGAATGCACGTTAAACCACTGTCTGTCTTTGAAATAGCTTGCATGATGAGATGAGAATCATATCCTCTAAGGTTATGAAACACAACAGGGATGGGTATTGTTTGAGAATTCATTTTTAGTTTCAAGTTACACTCGTTATGAGCGGCTCCCCGATAATTACCCGTGACGTGGCAATAATCTCTTACGGAGTCCCCATTGAGGGGTTTATTACAAACATGACAAATCGATGATTTCTTATAGGCCCTCCAATAATCCCTCGTCATACACATGGGTTTCTTACGCGATAAATTTTCCCTGATTATTCTCTCTTTGTTTTGTAGGTATTCTAGGAACTTTCCCGCTGCATTGGGACCTCTATAAATCATGGGCGGGTTTGTTTTCCCATCATACCTTACAACTATATATCCAAACCCATAAGGAATATGTTCTTGAGTTTTGTACGTAAAACTACATTCAGTATTGTGTTCGGTATTTTCTATAGGTTTGATAAGTGCTTCGAAGTCAGTGTAAATTATGTACGGTACTGGCATTTGGTTGCAATAATGTTCAAATTTTAATATATTTTTTCCCTCTTTAGGCATATCGATCCTGATAGCAGTCTGTCCAACACCTCTGCAGTCTTCTTTATGCGCTTCTAAAAGATCTTGTATGCTGTTCCCATGCAGGCATCGTTCGCAGAAATATTTCTTTCCATCATGTTTTGTTTGATCTCATAATAGTCTGCTTAAACTCTTTATCCATGTATAATGATATTTAACATCTTTTTCGATTAGAAATAAAGTTGATTCTGGGAATATGTTCTGGGGCAGAGCTTATCCTGTGTACAACAATTCCTTTAGAAGAATGTCCGAAAACATTTATGGCTAAATTATTTTGCTTTTCCGCCTTATCAATTTGTAAGATTGGTGTAGGTTCGTCTATACCATCAAGGTTGAATCCATCGATTGGGGGATAGCTCGAAGATCTATTTGCAATTTTAGAATCTGCAGGGAACATGGCAGATCTTATCATCATTCCGAAACAGTCATCGCCTTTATTTTTTACATTAATTATGGCCTTTTTCTTTTTATAATACGAGGGTAAATCTATATAAGATCCGCCTTTGAAAGGCATATAATTTGCTATATCTAAATATAAACTATCAATTTTATCCAAACACCAACCCGAACCTCTATTAGTCATACGTTCGAAAGTTTCTTGTATCCATTGAATTGATGCATCTATTGATGCGCTTATAGTATCAGATTTGGTTATAACTTCTTGATTGCTCCGGAAATAAGGTTAGGTATATGGGCTCAACATCATTAACATCTATGTTGGAATAATTATCCATATTCCAACCTCTTAGATATTTACCAACACCGTCTGTGGGTACAAATCTTAACTCAACGGGTTGATTATTTTTATCATCTGGTTGATTTTTTATCAACATTCAGTAAAGGGATCAATTCAGCTTTTCTCATTCGAGAATAACCTCTCAGCCCACTTTTTTTTGCTTGAGCTTTGAGATCTCTAACAGTCTGGGGTTTGTTGTATTCCAAACCGAGTAAATCAATCAATTCAGCTTTTCTCATTCGAGAATATCCACGTAGACCACGTTGTTTTGCCAAAGCCTTCAACTTTCTAACAAAAACCATTGTGGTTTAATGGTATATACAAAATGAGTCAAATGTCTAAATGGTGGTATTTCCATATATCTAAACATGTGTTCTCCCTAACCTATTCCTCTCATTGATGTAATCTTTCTTCCTAGCGTAAATAATCTGCTTCCTGGCCCTATCAGCGCTGTGTTTCTTACATAAACAATAACGACCTTTGACTCCTATCCCACATACAGAACAAGTGTAATTTACATTTCCTTGTCTGATGTAATAAGCATGCCGGTTGCATTGAATTGGCTTACCTATGATTGTAAATCTGCACAGATTCATGGTTATACACCTATCATATCATTTGTCTAAAAGGCAAATTACACCTCCAATGGTGAGCAGTTGAGTCATTGCTATTTATAGCTTAGCCAGTCAGCGGGACAGAGCTTATAGTAGTCAGGGTTATTAATAGCAGATAAGACTCAGCCCGACATAGATCACAGCTTATGCGTAATTGTGTAGCTGGAAATTGCAACTGCTGACAACCCAAACATTATAAATGCTATCTCACGGTCTTTCTGAGCCTCTGACGATGTATAAAAATGACTTATTGTTGGCCACGGTATTGGGTCAAGTGTCTTTCCATAAACAAGGAAGTATTTGTGCATGGCAGATTCAACATCCTTAAACATTTGAATTGAATGTCCTTGTTTACGCAGTTCATCATTAACCCTTTGGCCCAGACTGCCCGTTTTATTGGGCTGCATAAACCATAGCCCAGTCCATGGCTGCCCAATAAATCGGGCAGCTACTGTCCAAGTCCCTCACACGGCTGACCGCTAAATTGGGCGGCACGTACGTGTTTACAAAATCGCTTTCTACTTCCTTTCTCGTGTGTAATCTCGTTCTAAAAATAGAAACGAGATCTACACGCAAATTATACGTTATTCCATGGAATTTCCCAGTCTTTTGGGCGCGAAGATCGAGGATATGTTACGTGTTTTCGCGACAGGTATATTTTCTTGCTTGAATCCGTAAATCTAGCATAATGACGGCCAACTACGATTTGGATAGCGATCAGATGTCTAATAATGACTTTATCGGGAATAATAATGTGTTCGATTTGAATAATTTACGGGAAGGGGAGAGGGAATTTCGCGAATATTTTGTTGAAGATTTTGACGAGGTGTCACCCCCCCACCCCACCCCAACTTTCAAGAATGGGAGATGCAGAGGGACTACAACGGTGGAGACATGAGGAATTTTGAAGAGAAGACCGGACCCAAGAATACTTATTGACATGGTGAGTGAAGAGAGTCGTGCTATTGATTTTTTCCAACTGTTTAACAATGATTCTGTGTTTGAACAGATTATCAGGGCGACGAATGAGAATGCAGCCTATACAAGTGAACGAGCGATCACAACAACAACAAAGGTGAGTGGCATGACATATCTTTTTCTTTTTTTAAATTTATTTATCTGATAGCAATCCGAATTGTAGTTTGCCGGTTTGTCATATGTCTTTGTATTTTGCTCAATTTGTTTAAAATTTATTTCCATATTCATGTTTGTTTTCTTGTTTTTTTACATCTTAGTTTAAATTTTAGTAACTGTAATAATTATTTATTTATTACTTGATTTAATTAAGTACTGGTTTAATTTATTAAGCAATTGTAAATAGCAGTGTATTGTAAATATGTTATCACAACTTGTATATTTGTAGAACTTGAATTTATGATCTTTCCGTCCTTTTACAATCTTTCCCTCCTTTCAGAACAATCTGTGATATCTTCCCTGTGATGTCTTTCTTATAGGAGCTGTGGTTCAATGTTCAGGTAATGTGATAAATTACTATTTATTAACTTAAGTACTTAATTTTTGTTTCAAATCCAGAAAAAGAACAAAATAAATCTGATATTTGTGTTTTTACCTGTGTTAACGAGTTTACCTGCGTTAACATGTTTACCTGTGTTAAAGAGTTTACCTAAGAGGCTGTAAGTGTATTATAAGTATTATGTGACATCTTTTTAGAAAACAAAGTCAGTACCAAGTTTTGTAAACTTGTTTTTTTTGTTTACAGATGTGCATGAAGAGGATTTACCTGTAACACCTGGGATTACCTGTGCCGTCCAAGATGACAAGACCACCGCGTTATGTTTACCTTGTATCTGTGATTTATTTTTGTGATTTTTAATACATTTTGAGCCCAAATTCATTGTCTGTTATCATTTTTTCAGTGTTTTCAAGTTTTATTTCACTTGTAAACACCTGTAATTAGAAAATAACAAAGGTTAGAGACAATAACAACAAAGAATATTACAGTATACTTAATCCTCTTTACAATGATATATGATAAGTATATATTAAAAGCATGTTTCTGGTAGAAAAAGTGCATCAAAAATGATAGTATGATTTTCCAATAATACTGCCAGGGAGGCCAGTGTACAGGCCTTGTCAGTGTGAGGGACTGCAGAGTTTCACAGGACATAACTCTGGGGCAATCTAATCTCAACATCCTCTGTCTGGCCAATTGTGACTGGGCTGCTTCGAGTTGTTCTAATGCTTTATTATGTCTTTTCTGCATCTCTCCTTTCATATTAGAAAACAAACAAGTGCAAAAATGAGCGTGGCTCACTAATACCCCCGACCCGCCTAGTGTGTCAGTAGTTACAAATTAAATAGCTAGGATAGGGTTAACTTAGGGTTTGAAAAATTCATTAAAAAATGGAAAATTAATAAAAACAATTTTTTTTCTTTGGACTGCACCCCTCCATATGACGCAGATTATATGTACTAAGTTTGAGATGAATCTCCTGAATAGTTTAAGAGAAATCGCGCAGAAAAGTTTTTCGGACGGACGTTAGGGTTTGAAAAATTCATTAAAAAAAATTAAAATTAATAAAAACAATTTTTTTCTTTGGACTGCACCCCTCCATATGACACAGATTATATGTACTAAGTTTGAGATGAATCCACCGAATAATTTAAGAGAAATCGCGCAGACAAAGTTTTCGGACGGACGTAAGGGTTTGAAAAATTCATTAAAAAATGGAAAATTAATAAAAACATTTTTTTTCTTTGGACTGCACCCCTCCATATGACACAGATTATATGTACTAAGTTTGAGATGAATCCCCTGAATAGTTTAAGAGAAATCGCGCGGACAAAGTTATCGGATGGACGGACGGAATCTTGGTATAACTATATACCCTTGACATTTTGTCGGGGGTATAAAAGTTACTCCCCGAAAAAGCTAGAGCATTAACAATGTAGCTCCACCGACCATCATCACAATTGATGCCATGATATGTTTATATGTTTATAAAATATTCAAATGTTTAATTACTTCATTATGTCTTCTGGGATAAGCCCTTGTTTGATTACCATATCTTTTGTTTTCATTGCTAATCCTATATCGAGAACCATCATACCGATATCATAACAGCGTTTGCGTTTACGGCGTCCCATATACAAAAATACGCACTGAAAAAAAATAGGACGCAAAAAAACCAACCTTCACGCGTCCCCTTACGCGTTTTTTATTTTGAAAAAAGTTCACTTCATGCATAACTTATTTTTGTTTTGTTTCGTGTTCCTCTCGCTCCCAAAACCCATGTGATAATGTGTATCCAATATTCGCTGGGTTCCGGTGCAAGCCATATTTCGGCGGGAACACGGGAAACTGAGAGGTATCCGATGACGTTTCTCTTCCATGTCGTATCCGTAATGGCATCGCTGATTGGTTTACAAAACGGAAATAGAAATGTAAGCCAATCGCAGACCTTGTTAACAGTATTTTGTCAATGTCAAGGACTAAAGTCCAAATGGCATCCCCGAAACTTTGTCAAAAGAAAAATTGGTTTCAAGAAGGTTTGCTTGAAGAGCCAATATACTCTTTCAACACTGTAGGCTGGTAGACCAGCCATGTCGTAGTCACGTCCAAATATAGGGTATATCTATATAATTTTATGAACCTACCTGTCATATCATTCATTTATTAAATCAATCACATTTCACAATGTCTGAAATACGTATTCCATTTCAATTTATCCTTTTTTATCGAAAGATTAAATGATTCACTATTTCCCGCGATGTTATTGAAAATAAAATTCTTGGACACACACTTCGACAACGGTCCACATCGAACATGTCAAAGAGCAAAACAAAGACGTTTCACGCAAATCTTTAAATCTAGTATACAAAGTAATAAATAACATCAACCAAAATATATCTATAAGCTAGGATTATTTCAATCTTTTCGTGCGATCGCGTATAATGTAAATCAAATGACATCTCGGCTTTCGTCGCCTAGATTTCTCGGCTCGGATACGATGTTCCAATATGCCTGAAAAACCTTTGTCACAGCTCCTAACCTAGAACGATACATCCACGAAGTTCCATGTTTTTAATATAGATCGTGAGTTTCCTGCTTGAAACGTTCAGAATAACAAAAAACTTTCGTCAAAATCTTTGATTACACACGTGCCATTGCTGTAATTTGATTGACAGCCTTAAGTCATGTACTCTAGTTTGACCAATCACCACCCTCGTAGCAGATATCGGCAAGAAAGCACGTGACAAACTTACAGCGACGAAAAGACTTGGCGAGGTTAGTGTAGATGAAAATATAAACTTTCTAATACGAAGCTTCGAAAACGGATGTATTTCTTCATGTTACTGACAGCTGCAGGTATCGAGAAAATTGGTGATGACAGATACTATTTACAATTATTTATAAAATACTTTTCCGATCAGGTAAACAATGAAAATAATAAAGAAATAGGTAAGTGGATTTTATGTTTGTTTATATTTGACAAAAATCGTAAATTTACCCTTCCTTGGTACTCAATCTGGACGTTTGAATGTGTTAGCTTACATTGGTTTTTATTTACAACTTACTTAAGTTGTAAATGCTTTATTTAAACAATGTGATAAACATAAATATGTATAAACAGTAGGATTAGACCTTTCAAATGGTGTATAACATGTAGTTGCAAAGATGTTTTACTAGACTAACATTTAGTCTATGAAATCTTATATTACACAATACCCTTCTCAACTCTAAAAATAAATATATAATTTTCCCCTTTGCTGATTTCCTAGCTAGAGCTGGCTTGACTTGCTTTTGTATACGTTTCTAGATTGGTGTTGTTTTCACAAAATATTTATATTCCACAGTCATGGTGCAGGACTAATGTTTTACAAGCAGATATTTTCCTTGATAAATGTTGGCTTCATCTATCACACAAGAGTCTCTGGGAACTTGGTGTCACAGCAGATAAAGCTCCTGGTTGACTGGTGTTGAAAGAGTCAAGTGGCTAATCTATGAAGATTTCAAAGATGTTTTGTGTAAACACATAAAAACTGAGACTTAAAGATTTTAACCACACCCTTATTTATGCTCAGAATGGCCTAAAGTTCACCATTTCAGGTCCACATTTAACAAAATTTCTGGGGGGGGGGCATGCCCCCAAACCCCCCTAGATAGCTTCGTGCCTACGGCGCTCGTGGATACTGCGTCACAGGGGACCCCGTTATTTTGGAACACAACGCAAACACTGCATAACCATTAAAATCTAGCTTGGGTGGTGTGGCTTTAGTAATCATTTTAGCTATATGGGCAAAGCCAATGGCTGCTGACCACCGCTGTATGATACGTTGCATTTACCAACATTTTACCATCTGCAACTGGAGTAGTCATGTTTTTATAACATTACATGAGGGCTTAACTCTAACTGAACCTCATCTAATTTTTGAACTTGTGGTGTTTTCTCTTCTCCGGTCTAAAAAAAACATACCGCTGCTATAGCAACGCTCCCTAGTACATAGGGAGCCGAAGTTTTAATCGGGCTAAGATCAGTATTGTAGGCCTTTTCCTTCCTCGCTAAGTGCATCCTTCCTACCAGCTGCGACTTTTTGAGGATTCTCAGTCACTCTGCCTTGTGGTGCAATCACTTGAGGTGTTTCCACAATCGCTGGTGTTTGTGGTGCAATCGCTTGTGTTTCCTCGTTCGCTTGCGGTATTTCCGTCTCCATTATTAATAAGTGGGCACATATGTTTACATTGACAATACCTAGCCGTTATTAAAGCTGTGGTAAGTGGCGCTAAGAACATTCCGTATCTATGATAAAACTCACAGCTTACTGCGCTTATAGCGTGTTCGATGAATGGGTCTATCTCGAAAGATTCGCATAAATACATGTGATTTTCTGCCAGGATAGGAAGAAACGTACTAGCTACAACTGTGTGGAGTTGTAACATAGACGAACCTATTTTTTTAATCATGGTAGTTCCCAGTCTGGACTCCCAGTTTTTCGTCGGTCATGTTATCAATTTTTTTGGTGGTATAATTTCCCCCAAAATATTGGGAACATTTTCCACCGGCTACCAAAGCCGCGAGTCTTTCTCTATGTTTATCTGTATGTTGATCAGGCTCATCTTTGAGCATTTGTTCGATAAGTCCATTGCATTCTATAATGTAATACCTAAGGATATATTTATGTCTAACATAATGAAATATTGCATATCCAATACAGCAAGAAATAATAACTGTTGTAAAAGAATGAGGATTTCAAACCACATTATTACATAATAACCGCTAATGTTCTATTTATCGTATTTTTGCTATATTTTTGCTATATTTGCTATAATTTTGCTATATTTTTGCTATATTTTGCTAAGCAATTGCATAAGAAGCTGGTTGATCGGTTTTTAATACGAGTTTACAGTGCTTCATTTCTGCTAACAATTTTCTGACTTTATCCCGTTCAAGCTTGGTAGAAATAATATCATTTTCGCGTTGACATTCCTCAAATGAATCTCGGTCTTTGCAATGAAACAAGGCAACCCATTTGGTCTGGTCTCTGAGATCTTTCAGGACAGAGTTGTATTTTTAAGTAAGTATCCAAACGCTCAATATGCCGTCCGGAGAATGCTAAATATGAAAGCATATCTTTCTTTTTGGTAAGTTCTTTACTCGCACTGCAGTCGTCTATTATGGAAAGGGTTGATTTTCCTTTGAATTTTTCGTATCATACTTGTAAATAGTCTTGTAAACGATCGCCCAGGTCAACTTTGTACACCCCGGGATCATTAATTACCAAATCTCTCGATAGGTATGTTTTATTAACGCTCATAGTCGGGCACAGAATAATAATATGGGCGAAAACATACCGATAATAACTTTGTAAAATATCTAGAATAAAAGCTG